GTTCAGATATTTTGGAACGATGATAACAAATAAAAAAAGAGGAGATTGAACTCGGATAATGCTTGCTACCATTCAGTCCAGAACCTTTGTCTTCTAATCTGGTGTCTAGAAACGTAAAATTTAGAATATACAATACCATAATTTTCCTATGGTTCTGTATGGGTGCAAAACTTTGTCCTCAACATTAAAGGAGGAACATAAACTGAAAGTGTTTGAGAATGAGGTGCTGAGAAGGATACTTAGACTGGAAAAAGATTAAGTGAAAGGAGGTTTGTGAAAACTGCACAATGAGGAGCTTCGTAACTTGCATATTTCGCCAAGTATAATTGGAATTATCAAGTCAAGGTGGATGGGCAGGGCATGTAGCACGAAAGGGGAAGAAGAGGAATGCATACAGGATATTGGCGGCAAAGACAAAGGAAAGGGACCACTAGGAAACCAAGATGTAAGTGGGTGGATAATATTAAAATGGATCTTAGGAAGATAGGATGAAGTGGTATGGAGTGGATTGATCTGGCTCAGAATAGGTACCAGTGGAGGGCTTTATGCTGTAATAAACCTTCAGGTTCAATAAAATGTTTGGAAGTTTGTATGTAGCTGAACAACTGGTGGCTTCTCAAGAAGTGCTTAGCTCCATGAAGTTAGTTTAGTTAACCAGCTAACCAGAATAGTCAGCTCAAGCGGTTAGTGTCTGGCTTCCCACCGCGACGGCCCGGGTTCGATCCCTGGTCTGGTCAAGTGGGATTTGTGGTTGACAAAGTGGCGATGGGGCGGGTTTCCTCTGCCAATCTTCATTCCACCAAATCCTCCATCATCATAATCACCAGGGGCAGGCTACAATAGGCCAATCAGTGGCCATCGTGCCGAGTGAACCCAGTTGGACTTCATCCCCACTAAGCAAATAAAAAAAAAATAACCAGAAGAGTCACTGAATTTTGGATGGCTGAAAGTGTTCCTGGAAGAGAGAGCAATAGAGCCAGGAGGATGAGAGGTCAGCAAATATGGATTGCTTTTAGTAAAGATGACCATTTTATTCGAACTGAATGAGGCTGCACTGGTAGCAGTTCTTCTAGAAGTCCATGTTAAAGATAAGAACATGGTATTTGTCTTCATAGCTGGTGCTATCTGGAAAGGAAAGTCCTTTTTATTTGACATCTTTCTGAGGTATACGTTAACGTAAGGAATTCCTGATTAGATGGGCAATGAAAACAAACCTCTTGAAGTAAGTTTTGAGGTTTTCACGGCGATGACTATGAAGAAAGTCACCTTCTGGGTTTAGGCGCCGTGTATTCTTCGTTTTGGCCGACGTTTCGGAGGAACGTATCGCCTCCATCTTCAGAGCAGTTGAATGGCTTGGAATGCAGAGAGCAGTAGCAGTGCTACTTCTTCAAACCACTTGAAGGTGGGGTATGGCATTGAAATTCACAAGGAGACATTATGGGTATTCTTATATGGCTCAAAGTCTTTGATACTGGTCATTCAAATGTAGCACAAGTTACCATTATTCTATGGACTCGCAAGAAGCCTTTGACAGTGAAAGTACAGTGCAGGATTTTGCCACTGTGTTTACATTGAGCACAATGCTGAGTTCTGTCCAAACCTACAACCTCCTGCAGAGCCTACATCATGATAATTTGCAGTGCCTTCAGCTTTTCATTAAATATGGTGGGTTAGCACTGGAATATGATGGACATACACCCTTCCGAAAACTACAGTTCCTGGTGAAAGGCTGGAGTTTTCCATATGAAGCATGCTATTGAGCTGGAGGGGTAGTCATTTTGAGAAGGAGGTTAAAGGTGTCAGATGAACAACATTCTGAGGTACAGCCACTAAAAGAACACATCATATAATTTTTTCAGACACATCCTGCTTCTTGATGAGTCATCCAGGACTCAAAGTGGCAATAAATCCAGCCTTTGGTCGATGGTTATCAGACATTGAGCCAGACTTCAGGAAACAACTTCAGAAATTTGTCCTAATGATGCTGGTACTGAGTATTTTATTGTAAAATAAATTAGAGGTCAGAAAATGAAGACAGAAGAATTGCTCTAGTGCTTTAAATGATACATTCAAATGTACAAAAGGAACAGATTGCCTGAACTGAAACCCATGTTCACTGCTACAGCTAAGCCAACAATCTGGCAGCAGTAGCAGCAGCCAGAGAACCATATTGTCATGTGTATCTGTAGTAACATGACTAATAATTGTGGATTATAGATTTGATGATTGCATTTATTTGACGTCTCTATTACAATTACACTGGATTATAACAGTTCACACATTTAACCCCTTCTGGATAATAAATCTCTCACTGATGCCTGGATTTTGCACTGGTGTCTAGTCTCCAGTATTCTCAAATTCTGCTTAGTTCTGCTTAGCTCTTGAAAGAACACTGATTCACTGCTGACTCACTTCTCACTTCTCTATTGCTACTGCTGCTACTTTATATTTGCTTGTCGTACCAAATAGGAGACACATAGTCGAACAGCTTAGCTATCCATTGTCATGAAAGCGACATCTCCATTGTGCAGGAAACGTCTGTCTACACGGTTGTGAGAACAGTGCTTATCGAGCCATTACTCAACAATCAACTGTTCCAGCTGGTCATCCTGGATATGTGTATCAATAAACCATTATATATGCAATGGATTCACATGTCACAATGTACAGCGTTGATTGAGTGGGTATGTGGTGATGCAAGTTCATATGTTGGCCCTGCAAGTCTTGAAGCTGAACACCAGAAAATTAAAGATGAATTGTTAAATCAGTTCATCAGTACACCCAAAATGGGAGGAGAAACTCTTCTGTATCATGCAAGAAGAGGTTAGATGAGGAACTTGAAGATCTCTACGGATGATTCAGGATGTCAGTGAATGTACTGGGACCATCTTAGAAGCTGAAAGATCTCCTACTACATTCTTTGGTAGGTCTGTGATATTTTGCACTTTACTTGGATTGTTTCGACTTGGCCTGAGCTATTTTTGTAGTCTATTTCATGAAGCTTTATTGAAGTTGACTCTGGGGCAGCACTCACTGACTACTAGTAACTTCATTCTGGGACTGGATGCCCTGTGTGCCCATGATGCATTCATTGATTTGAGGTGCAACAGGCTACAATTGAGCAATGAAGAAGTGTTTTTGTGATTGTCATTCATTACATTCTACACATTTCCTTACATTTTAACAAATTTGTATATGCAGGATAAATATCAACTGGTGAGTTGATGACTGCTTGTGATGAAAACATGTAATGTACAGTTATAAATTAAACATTAAGCATTCAGCATACATATGTGCAATTGTTTTAATATATTAGTCCATATTAAGCTTTATGTGTGTTTTGTTGTTAGGAGCTACATTTGTGAATGTTTAATACCTGGAACTTCCCAAATAGTTTATCATGTCATACTTTACTTATACATTGAAGTGAATGGAAAACTCTGTTGTGAATTATGTAACATTGGCCAATGTATTCAGTTATATTTTATTAGCGTGTTTTTAATTATACAATTCAATAAAGTTCAATAAAATTACGAGGTGGCCGATGATATTCAGTGATCTTGTCAATATGACTAACTATTAAGTTATACTTAGAGGGTGTCATTAATCGGCTACTTGGCAGTTCCATAGTTGCTGGCTTCCCACTGTGGTGGCGCGTGTTTGATCCTGGGTCTGGTCAAGTGTGATTTGTGGTGGGCAAAGTGGCGCTGGAGGGGGTTTTCTCCAAGTACTTCGGTTTCCCCTGCAAATCTTCATTCCACCAAATTCTCCATCATCATAACCACCTGGAGCAGGCTACAATAGGCGAATCAGTGGCCGCAATGCTGAGTGGACCCAGTTGGACTCCACCCCCCACTAAGATAGTTTAAAAAAAATTAATCAGCTACTTTGTTGAAGATCATATTCGGCATGTGTTGGTGAAATATAATGGTAGTATTGCAAATCTGGATGTATAATTTGTTTTAATGTTCATTTGGCAGCCTGACTTGCAAAAGTTAATGTGATTTCAAGAGTTATGATATTTAAAATATAACTACATTAACTCGTTCAACAAATGTTTTTTTCTTTAATTGTTTTATTGTACTTCAGATCCTCTGATTACTTTCACTGACTTTCAGCAGAGCATTTGTATTCAGTTTTGAGGAATTAAGTAATATTCTCTGGTTTAATGGCATTGATTTTATTGTTATACATTCACAACAATTAAAGTAACAGAAAAAACGCTGTTTCAACAGTTTTCAAGGGTAAGTTGTGGACAGACGTTACAAGTACAATTATCTGTGAACAGAGTAATAATTTTTAATAAGTTTTACCAAACCACAGCTGTCCTAAATACGTATGAATATTAAATTTTTCTACCTATAATTCTAAAATAGTTTAGTGTATTTCAGAAAATGGAAATTGGATTTAGATGAAATATTTTTATGTAAGATTTGAGGCTTTCACATGGAACTGATGAAAAACGTTCTCCCTATGGATATGAGTGACGAGATACTAGTTAAACGATACAGTTAGAAAAGCTGAGGAAGGTGTTCTACAGTACAAGGGCCTAGGTCTCACATCAGAGAGGGTGGGTTTTGATAAATAGTAGGTAAGATTTTAGGCTTTCATGGCTAAAAAAAAAAAAGTAGAAAATTCCTCTCGGCCGATCAGCTGTGACAATGCTGTGTTAAAAACCGTCGTTTCTGAGATCTACTCCAATTTAATCATCAGCGACGCCTTTTTTTGTACAAATGGCTATTGCTTAACCTTCCTGCCGACTGAGCTTTTGCAGTGGCTACTACCAGTCTGTAATTCTGCCGTAGTTCATTCATTCATTCATTTATTGTACATTCCATAAATCCATATACATAGATATAGAACCAGTCACATAATTAATATAGTACAATACAAATACAGTTTATAATCATTAAAATAGATTTAAAAAAAAGGTGTTAAATTTATATCAAAAAAAGTCTTACATCACTATACATAAAATTATGCAATATTAAAANTAAGTTTCTGAGCAGCTCCTTCAATTCCATAAAAGTCCATTTTTGATAGCAATATATCATGATTTACTCGGTCAAAAGCCTTACTCAGATCACAAAAAATTCCACCCGCTATATATTTGTTGTTTAAAGCCCTATAAATATTCTCCATTAGATTATAAGTAGCTAATGTAGTTGAAGAGTTTTTTCTAAAGCCGAATTGCTCCTGCGTTAGCAGGTTATGTGTATTTAAGTGGAAAATCATTCTTTTATATATAACTTTTTCAAAAATTTTAGAAAAGATTGGGAGTAAAGATATAGGTCTATAATTAGACATGTCGGTTTTATTCCCCTTTTTTGTGTATGGGTATTATTTCAGAATATTTTAATCGAGCAGGGAATATTCCTGTAGACAATGACTTATTAAATATGTAAGTTAATGGTGATGATATATATGGTGCACTTGCTTTTATTAATTTGGTAGTAATTCCATCATATCCACAAGCTGCTTTGAGTTTTATAGATCTTATTATCTCTTCTATTTCATTGCTGTTAGTTGCTTTTAATACCAATTTCTGAGATGGTTTTGGAAATGAAGTGTATAAATAATCCATGAACTTGAGGATAGATGGAAGAATAATATGCACATAACAGCATAGCTCCAACCGCTCCAACCTTCCGAACAACAAAATGGAGCGACACCTTGCCTACCTTCCTTTGACGAAGAGAAAAGTAATCCGTAAGTGGACACAGAACATGTAGTGGCGGTAAATCTATCTCTGCTGCAGATGTTTAGCGCGTCAAGGGAAAGTAGTTCTGAATCTTCATTATGGCTGCCTCAGTAAGGGCTAAAGTGCTTGGTATTTTAAATTTTCCCGAAAGCATTACTTCATATTATAATGTGCACTTGTTAAAGTACATAACTGGAAATGTAAGACATGTGAGAAGATTTGGTGATAGTACTAATAGAGTTCCTGAAGTTGAAGTGCCATTTTCGAATGGGTAATTTTATTTATAACCTAACATTCCATATGAACATGTTGTAACATCGTGGAAGTTTATTTCTTAGCGGATTCTATATGTTTAGAGTAGAGGTCTCTGGGCAGTGGTGATGTCTAATCGATTTATAAAGTGGTTGCGGCATATCCGAGGTAAATGAAAATACTGCGCCGTGTGGTTTGGAGAAAGCCCGACGTTTCGGAGGAACATGTTTCCTTTGCCTTCAGAATCAAAGAATAAACGAAGCAGGAAGTCAGCAGACAGCAAGCAGAGCCGAGAAGACGGAGGCAATGTGTTTTTCCCGAAACTTTGGGTTTCCTTTGAATTACAAAGCATTTACAAACCAGAAGACCATACTGTCTAGTACATCCTTGATAACTTCAAATCCACCTTGAGTAATGTTTGGTGTGTGTGTATATATACTTTTCTTAAATTTCAGAAGAAATTTAACACTATCTACAGGCAAGTTTGCCAGATTTGCTGATGGATGTGCTGTTGCAGCTCTTGGTGATACATCTGTCATGGTAACAACCGTGAGCAAAACAAAACCTTCACCATCCTCATTTATTCCACTGGTAGTAGATTATAGACAAAAAGCTGCAGCTGCAGGAAGAATTCCTACAAATTTTTTGAGGAGAGAGTTGGGACCAACTGAAAAAGAGATCCTGACAAGTAGGCTAATAGACAGGTCATTGAGACCATTGTTTCCTGTTGGATACAGTTATGAGACACAAATCATGTGTAATCTTCTTGCTGTTGATGGGGTGAATGATCCAGATGTTATTAGTATCAATGCAGCCTCAGCAGCCCTGGCTTTATCTGACATACCTTGGAATGGACCAGTTGGAGCAGTCAGAGTTGGCTTTAGTAACAATGAAATAGTAATAAACCCTACGAGAAGAGAACTGTCACAAAGTATCTTAAACTTAGTTGTAAGTGCTACACGTCACAACCTTGTAGTAATGCTGGAAGCTGCAGCAGAGAATATTTTGCAACAGGATTTCCTTAAAGCAATCAGAGCTGGTGTAAAGGAGTGTCAGAATGTTATACAAGCTATTCAGCAGCTTCAGAAACATTATGGTAAGGCTAAACGTGAATTTGAGCCTCTGCAGGTACCAAGTGAAGCCGTTTTGGAAGCAATAAGAAGTTTAAGTGAGATGCGCCTAAGAGAAATATTCCGGGATCATACACATGATAAACTCTCAAGAGATTTGGCAGTTTCTGCTGTAAGAACAGATGTTGTTGATAAATTGAAACACAGCTTTGATGAAGACGTTGATATAAACAGTGTGACTGAATGTTTCAATCGTGTTAGCAAAGAGACTTTCAGATCTTTAGTATTTGAAGACAACATACGGTAAGATAATGATTTTTATTTTGTTTAACAAACCAAGTCATGATGATTATCAGTCAGTATTTAATCTTATCATTTCTCATGTGGTTAGAAGTTTTTAATTGTGATTAAATACAGCAGCTGTGCCTCAATCCATCTTAACTCTGATCGTGTATAGGTTGTGCAAACGACTTTGACAGTTATCTTTTTTCGTGTTTTGATTTATTATGCTATACTTATAGGTTTGCTTATGTTTATACTCCACCACATCATCCTGCCCAAACTTGAAGTTTTCCCAGTTATCCTATTTTTGTCACAAATTCTCTGCTTTTATTGAAATATGGAACTGGAGCTGGAATAGCCCAGTTGTCATAGATATCAAGCTATGGCCTACATGACTGAAGAATCGTTGGATTCCTGGCAGGAGCAAGAGGCCTGTCCTCCTTCTCAGCCTCCACACCAACTCTGTGATCCAATGAGACTCTTATCCAGTGGGTACCAAGGACATTTTTCCTAGGGGTAAGGCAGCTGTAGCATGAAGTTGACTGCCCACCTTTATCTTGTTCTGAGGTTAAGAATGTATTTTTCCACTCCTCTGTATGTTTTCATGATATGGTGCTTATTAGGCACAGAACTGTGAGCATTAGTAGGTAATGCAATTGTCTGAATTAGCACTCCCAACTTGCTAGGACATTGTTTTATGTGATCGTAATATTTTGTTCAAAATGAAAGAATTTGTCCATATTCGGAATTGAACCTTGACTTTCACATTTCATGTGAGAGACATTTCTGTAACATTAGTCATTATATATTTCTTCAAAGTGACAGTCTTCTGCATGCATCCAGGTGACGAGCTGTGTGAATGTGAATACGCTACTTCAGAATTGTTTGAATCAACCTTCTATATATATGTATAAGTTGTATATATAAAAGTAATGTAATGGGGAGGTGAGAGGACTAAAATTACTCAATTTCACATTACCATACCATTAAATTGTTGGGCATTAACATGTGACATGAGTCTGAAACAAATGAGCTGTCTTTTCTATCAGTGTGTCATGTCTATTGTAGTGAGTATTGATAATAATATTTTTGTATGAATATGTGAAGTGTAGTATACTATATGAGGACATGTTTTACAGATGACTTGTGGGAACTGCCCACATTCAAGCAATGATACTTGTGTTGTCACATTTGCTTGAATGTGGGCAGTTCCCACAGACTATTTGTTAGTGTTATTTGTGGGAGATGACATGTCATATCATTCAGTAACATATAGGCCTGGAAAGGAATATAGGGAAAAAGCAGGGAAGTTAATAGTATGAAAGCTGAATCACAAATGATGAGATTTTCTGTTAATTTTTCAGTTAGTGTTACACTACTGCTTGTTTTTAATTATTTTGGATTTTGGATTTGAGGTTCTCACAAAATTGACTATGAAGAATGCTATCATCTTAGATATAATACTGTGTAGTATGATAAAAGTTCATTAAAATTTTTGAGGAACACATTTCCTCCGTCTTCAGGGTTGAAGAGTAAGCCAAGCATTTAGCCAACAAGAATCAGGCAGCATGCCTGCTTTCTGCTTATTGTTTTCTTTGACCGTGAAGATGGAGGCTGTTTCTTCAAAGTGTTATTGAATTTCTAGCAGACTACACCACATGACACCCAAAACAATAGTACACTTGAGTTTTTTATCTCTGTGCACAAAATATGTCACTTTGTTCATGGTATGGCCAAAATGATGCCTGACACTTAATAGTCAATTTTCCACTTTATCTTTTTGACTTAACCAGCAGCACATCTTTAGTCAGTAGAATTTCATCACCCAAGCAAATACAGTATTGGTAGTTCTTTATTTTCAGTTTTTATTCTCTGAAAAATTTTACAGGTGTGATGGTCGTAGTCTGGAAGAACTTCGGAACATTTCCTGTCAAATAGACCTGTACAAACCATTACATGGGTCATCTCTGTTTCAACGAGGTCAAACTCAGGTGTTTTGTACTGTGGCCCTTGACTCTCCAGAGTCTGCCATGAAGATGGATGCTGTAACTATGCTTACAAGGTTATCATTTACACTACTGTTTGCATTAAAAAGGAGTGAAGATAGGCAAAACTTGTAGCCATAACACTGTGATATAATGATTTCAATTTATGTATACGCAATGATTACATTTAGCAAGATCAATAATTTCAGTGAGGAACCTCTCCTTCCCTTTTCTGTTTGTCTGTTCTGTCCATTTGTTACATATGAGACCATTCAGAATGGTGCATGGCTGCATATTGTGGCATGCTGCCTAAAAGCTGGAATATCTTGAGTCAGAGCAGGTGTCCATTGCTGGACAACGGCTTGTTAAAACACGTTTCTGAGACAGTGCATACATAACAGAAGTTACCACGGAAATGAAAGCCAGAGCTGGGGCGGTTTCTGTGCTGTCGAATACACTAGCTAACATGTGAAACGGAATCCTTTAAGGTGTTGTCTTCTAGTCCATTCAACTGTAGAAGATAAGAGATCAGAGGAGACCAGAGGAGAATTGGGAAGAGGTAACAACTCAGATTAGAGGCGAATGGAGTAGAGCTGAGAGCAGAAGAAACCAGCTCAGCTAAGAACCAGAAGATGAAACATGAGAGACAGTGGACTAGTCAGGTCGCAGCATCTGAAAGACGTTATTTCAGAGTGATTGTAATTGTAATTGTAAACAACTTATCCAATAAACAGCTTCATCTAATCTGGAACCCATTAATTTCTTCTTACATTACCTAGGATACATGACAATATTAATAAAAGGGAAGACTGCAAAATGTACATTGGAGTAAAATGGAATATATGGTAGTGACATCAAAATAATAGTTATTATTGAAAATTAATACATGTCTGACTTCTGTAAAGTCCAAATCACTTCACCACTAAATGTTATAATTGATGAAATTGTAATTCAGTGTGAAATACGAGGGGGGACCCAAAAATAACCGGAAACGACCTGTTGCGCGCGCATGCTTTGTAGTTACGAGTTGTGCTGCTAGGTGGTGTTAGCTGGGGGTCTCCCGCGACTGTTAGTGAGCTGGCGTCAGTCTGAGTTAAGTGGTTTGTCTGTGGTGCTCTGTTGTGTGCGTTCCTGTTTCAACCCTTTGGCGATTAGTGAGATGGCCGACCAGAAGGAACAAAGAGTGTGCGTGAAATTTTGCTTTCTGTTAGGGAAAACTGCAGCCGAGACTGTTGGGATGCTTCGGCAAGCCTTTAATGATGATGCTTTGGGGAAATCACAGGTCTACGAGTGGTTTTCCCGTTTCAAATCTGGCAACATGTCAACAGAAGACATGCCACGCCCCGGGCGTCCTTCGACAGGAAGAAATGACGAAAACATTGCCAAAATCAAGCGTGCAATTGATGAAGATCGTCGAAAGACCATTGACCAACTTTCTGAGGAAACGAACATCTCATGGAGCACGGTCCAGCGAATTTTAACCGAAGGTTTGCACATGAGACGGGTGTCTGCAAAATTTGTTCCTCGCTTGCTCGGAGATGACCAAAGAGAAAACCGCGTGAATGTTTGCCGCGACTTGAAGAGTGAAGTGCAGTTTTCCCTAACAGAAAGCAAAATTTCACGCACACTCTTTGTTCCTTCTGGTCGGCCATCTCACTAATCGCCAAAGGGTTGAAACAGGAACGCACACAACAGAGCACCACAGACAAACCATTTAACTCAGACTGACGCCAGCTCACTAACAGTCGCGGGAGACCCCCAGCTAACACCATCTAGCAGCACAACTCGTAACTACAAAGCATGCGCAAGCAACAGGTCGTTTCCGGTTATTTTTGGGTCCCCCTTCGTATAGTTGTCTTGTATACTTGTGAGTAATTCTTAGTGTGATGCTCTGTTGCTAATTGAAGGGGAAAAAAAGGTATGTATTTTTGGTGAAGTTTGTTTTCTTTGTAAGTAAGCTTTGCCAAAAAACATTTCATGTAGATATGAGCGACATATTGTTATTGTATCTCAGTATAGATGTACCTGTCTTTATGAAACTTTTGAATGTATTGAGGTTAGTTATTTCTGATCAAGTTTGCTTTTAAGTATTCCATGTTGAAATTTTAGGAGGCTTTATATTAGTATTACACTGATGAAATATGATTACACATGGCTATGGGAGCAAGTGTTTTTCTGCAGAACACATCCTCATAAAATGTATCCACATTGTATTCAAGAAAGTTCAGAATGACTTATGGTGAAACCCCTTCCCCTCATAAAGACATTCTGTAATGAGAGGAACAGGTCAGAGTAGTTAGCACTGTAAAGAAAAGGAAGAGCCCTGGCCCATCATCAGTGTCACCATACAAAGTGGAAGCGAGAAGGTAGGCTTTCATTCGGAGTTTGAGAAAGTGTGAAGAGCAAATTGAGAGCTCAACATCCCATTATCCACAGTGCACAATGTATTGTACAGATATTTGAAATTTTGTCTGTACAAATTCCAAAACTCTTTCAGAAGACAGCCATATGTCAAGAAGTTGCTTCTTTCATGTTACAGAATATGAGGTAGGATATTGAGTGATTGAAGTATCTTGTCTCTAATGAAACATTTCATGTTGGTGGGTACATGAACAGTCAAAGTTGCTGTGTGTGGAATTCCAAAAATCCTGGAATTGTTATGAAACATGTAGTGAGTGCCAAAGTGAATGTCTGATGCACATTAGCACATGACAAGTTCTTTCTTCTTTGCAGAAGACATCATCAACAGTACCTCTGACCTCAGTATGCTTGAACTGTACACACTTCCATAACCTAAGGGACTGAATTCACATGTCACATTCCAGCAAGAGTGAGCACCACAATGCTGGGGTAAAATCATCCAAAAATTACGGGACAGAACTTTTCATGGAAAAGGAGTACCCATTTCATGGCCTCAGGGAACTTCTGATTTAAGCCCTGTGGACGTAACTTCCTGTGGAGCATATGTAAAGGACTGGTCACGTCTGTGCATAATTTGAACAATAGCATATTATGTGCTGTGGAAGGAACCCACTACAAATGTGTGACACTGCTTTGCAGGCATTTAAATATCAGATGAACACTATGAAGGCAACAAACAGGGTCTAGGTTGAAAGTAATTAATGTGAAAAACTTTCAGATTTTCTTTCTCATGTGGTGAAAACTACACTCTTTTAGCTTGTATTGATTTTCACCATAACATTTTTGAGACATGGTGATTGTTCCCCAAACACCTTGTGTGTGTGTGTGTGTCCAAATTCTTACATGCACACTGTTCATCATCACCTTCCATCTCATTTGGTACTTTCAGCTCCCTGCATTTGAAGTAACATCATTAAATAACCTAAGAATGAATTGTTCGTATCATTACTCATTGTTCATTCTTTTTTCTTGAATAAAATGAATGTCTTTTGGGTTGAGTGTCTATATGTACATGTATTTTATGTCTTAGCCTTTGAACCTTATAATATATTTGATTTGAACTTTTACTGAAAATCAGTACTGAAACTTGTCAACATTGTTAAGTTATATCAGCCTGTTACACTTGTACTTAACCCATAGTAGTTTTCTCAAGCTACAGTACATGTATGAAATCAGTTCTACGATTCCTCACAGTTACTGCAGAGTTTCCATGTGGACATACTGCATCTGTTGCCCAACATTGTTCAAAGAATAGAAATCATCTGAATGGTCAGATGTCCCAGTCATTGAAGCATGCTACTGGTTAATCACTCAGTAAATATAAAAATATTTCAGGTAGAAGTGACAGGTCTGAAAGAGAAACATATTTTGACACAGGCCTATATATATTTTAATAATACAATATGATTTTTTTTGTGTAGTGGACTGAAAGAGAAGAATTTCTTCCTGCATTATGAGTTTCCGCCATATGCAACAAAGGAAATTGGCCGTGTTGGTCCTGTAGGCAGAAGAGAACTTGGGCATGGAGCTTTGGCAGAGAAAGGTTTGCGACCTGTTGTGTCGCGTGACTTCCCATTTACTATTAGACTTACATCTGAAGTTCTGGAATCTAATGGTAGGTTAACATCCTGAGACCATGAATCATAGCTCCTTAAATTTTTGGTCATATTTTGGCATTCAGAACTGTAACTTCACATCTTCTTTTAAATTAACACTTTGCGGACCGGCGATTTAAATATTTAAATCACCCTGGGGACCGGCATTTTTATACCTACTACCCTAACTTGTGCACTGTTCACTTTAAAAATTAATATAAAATCTCCTAATTAATTTTATGAACTAAAATTTTTGGAGAACACTTACCAGTGCTGCTAGAAGTGCTTGAGGGTGTAATATTTCTGGAAACACTCCGCTTTGTGAAGTGGCATTACACACTTGCAAATGTAGACATTCATATTCCTTTTTTTGTGAACTGCGCAAACATGGCATTGCCTAGAAGGATGCTTCCCCTTGGAATGTTCACTCTTCACAATTTTCATGAGGGCATGTTTCCGCATATCACCCGAGAGTCGCCCAGGGGTGTCCACATGAGGGCTGTGTGGGGTGGGAGTTGATGGGCTAAGTCGCACTAAGTCTGTCTGACTCTGATACTTTCGCCACCATCTCGTCTGTAGCCCAAGCCTTTGCCGCATTCATCAGAAATGCTTTGTATTTCAATTTTGAATCAGGGTCTAGATTTTTTTTAGATTTTTGCTGTCCCCGCAATGTTATTACCTGCATTATTGTCGGAGCTACTATCACTTTTACTGTCTGTGGCCACAATTCTTTGTTCTCCCCTGTTACTGCCGCTCTCTGAATCACCATTACTACGCATCTCACACACAAGCCAGGTCAGATAGGTCTTCGGAGGAGAATTTGTCCTTGATCCATTCTCCCCACTACCTACTGGCTGATACAGCTTGAAGAAGGCAAAGCATTTTCCTTTATAGTCGGTTAAATAAACAGCGAGGTCAAGTTACTGACTGCTAACTAAACATTCCAGAGTCTTATCACGCATTTGCAGGCGGTTGTGTGCAATGTAAGTGGCGCCAGAGCGATGTATAGCGTGTTGCAACTTATTGTGTTCTAAAAGCATAAATCTAGGCGACCGGTCTGCCATGTTTAAAACCCAAATGCCTAGGCCTAGGTGGCCGGTCCACGAAGTGTTAATGTGAAACCTAATATCTTGCTCTTAGGAAGGATGATATGTACGTTGAGTCTGAGAACAAAATGTTAAGGAGATTGTTTGAGCCTCAGAAATAAGAGATAACAGGAAACTGGAAAAACACAAATGAGGGGCTTCATAATTTGTATTCTTTGCCTAATGCTGTTGGGATGACTGAATGAAGATGGATGAGATTGAAGTGGCATGTGGCACACATGGAAGGAATGAGAAATACATAGTTTTGGTCAGAGAACCACAGAGGAAGATTTTGTAGGAGGATTATATTAGTCCTTGGGAAGTGAGGTATGATGATTCAGACTTGACTGAATTGGATCAAGAGGTGTGTGATATGTATGGCATAAAGTAAAAAAAGTAAAGCTATCCCTTTAACAGGCCATGAAGGCCCATAGGTTCTGAGATGTTGAGACAATCGGCTCAAAGATGGCGGTAAGGTTGTCAGCCTTACGTGCCAGCCGCACTTTACTCCCCAGGAAAATTGTTTAATTAATTCCTGGTGCTCATTTCTGTTAGAGGTTGAGTCGACCCCAGGGCCATAGTGCGACTGGAAGGATTAGGTCAATTTAAACAAATCCAATGACCTGAACAGGACTTGAACCCACAACCTTCAGGCTTGTAGCATAGTGCCTCAATCAACTATGCTACCATGTGCCCCATATTAATGCCATATGTTAATGTAAATGACCAGTAAATTTCTGTTCATTGAGTCACAAAAGAGTCATTCCATGCCAAATCAGCATAGCAGTTGACATGGCCACTTTGGACTTAAATTTCATTTCATATCCATACAGGGCCTTATAAGTAAGTGGTAAATATGATGATTATTCTGTTCTATAATTCATTCAGAGTTTTTGCATTTTTATCTCTTTGAGTTTCCCTTCACTTTTTCCATTTTCATATTCACTGAAATCGTTGAAACTTGGGTTCTAATTAAAATAGAGATCTTATTCTAATATCAAGTGGGGATTTCATTTGATGTGCTGCTCATAATATATTATGGCACATTAACATTTTGGCCCTAATTTTTTACCTTTGCACTTGATTTACAAAGAACATCGAGCCATAATTATAGAAACTTTTCCCAAAACATTTTATGATTCTTTAAGTGCTTTTCTGTAAAATGTTATGTTGGAATATAGGTTACATATTGTTCTTGGCTACTTGGATTATAGACTACAGTAAGCTATACAGGTAATAGAGTATTAATGAGAAAGGCAAAAAAGGCTCTTGGCAGGCTTATTTATTAAAGTATTGTCAGATTTAGTGACCAGATGGAAGGGAGGTTGGATTGGTAATTTGATTTATTGAAGGTTTATAACTACAATTATAACACTGTCGCTAATCTACACACTTAAGAAGTCACTACTGCAAACACCAAGTCTTCTTAGTCTGTTATGGTCTTCCCTTATCACTGTTTGGTTACATCTTCAATGTGCAACACCAGGTTGCAGCTGCTAACCATGGAGGGCCTTCATGACCAACCACATGCTTACAGTTCATGAAATGCACTGACCAACTACCAACTCTAGACTGACTTGCTTAAGTTCAAAGTCAGAGTTACATATGTCTGGCAGTATGTAAGCCAGTCAGTCTTGGTGTTGAGCTCCATCTAGGGCTGAAGGCCAGGCTTATGTTACTGTCAGACAGTTGCAGTTTTGTAGATCTGGAGTGCTCTCTCTGGTGAGAGGACAGGTCTCATTTACTGCGGTCATAATCAGTAGTACATGTTGTCTGTGTTTACAATATTACATGTTGGCATTCTACATCGTTGTCAAGAGTCCAGTTCCTTGTGGATACCTACTGTTTACATGTTTACATGCAACTCTAGTATATATGTATGTACAATATATACATGGCCTATGCCAGTCTAGGCTGGGCACAGCAGCTAATGCCCTAGCTCATGTAGCTTCGTCACTTGAACAGTCATATGCTTGACTGCTACCAAGCTTAACCCTCTTATATTTTCTGTACCATGCTTCGCTTTTCTTATGTTGCCAACAAATACATTTTCACAATTTCGTATGTCCTCTGTGTGTTGCCTGCACAGTTTCATTATGTAATCGTAAATATATGGTACTTGGAAAGTCATGTGCAACTTGCTGACCAGTGTGCACCTTGGAAATTTACCAGTGGTGTTAAGCACCTTGTTTTGCAAGTGCTGCAATTTCAGAAGGTGGGTATCTGCTGCAATTCAAAGTCAAAATCAGAGTCAGAGTTACTTTACGATTGGCGGTTTACCACCAATCAGTTTGTCTTGGCATCAAGCTCCTTGAGACTCATGACCAGGGATTTTTTTTTTCAACTGAACCCTTGTTGTCATAGTCCTTACATATCATCCTCTCTGATGCGAAGATGGGTTTGTCTCTTATGTATATACTTGGCATTTTGTCAACTGTACATATTGCACATATAGCATGTTATTGAAAATTCTTCCTTTTGTAATATATACAAGTCCTCTGTCAGTCCAGACTTTGCAAAGCAGACTATGCCTATCTTAACGTATCATGCTACAGTGGCAGCTTAGTCACTTGAACAGTCATAAGCTTGACCACTGCCAAGTTCAAGCCTCTTATATTTTCTATGTCTGGCTTCACCTTGTCATATACTGTGGACATGTTAATTCTCATGATTTTGTATGATTTCTGCTTGTTGCCTGTACAGTTTTGTTATATAATATATGGAAGGTTGGAAGCCATGTGGAAATCATGGTCTGGTGTGCACCTTGGAAAATTTCCAGTGATGCTGAGAACCTTGTTTTATAGACACTGCCATTAACTCCCAGGCTGGACAAGCATAATTCATTACTGATCTGATCAGTGCCTTATACAGGGTTAGTTTAATGTTGGAATTTTAATTCTCACTTTTGAATAGGGGGTAGATTCAAATAAATTTCTGAAGGCCTTGGCTTCAATCATTTCTATATGTAGTCTTCATGTAATCCTCTTATCAAAGATTACATCAAGATATTTACATGACTGACTGTCGATTCAATGTAAGATGAGCCTCAGGGGGCCTAAGTCTATGAAAACAGCAGATGGCCTGAGTCTGTCTTTATTGATTTTTAGTTTCCATTGCTCACACCACGTCTCAATAGCACTGAGATCTCACTGCAGCTTTCTGAGAACATAACCCTCTTTGCAGTCTGTCGCATATATACAGGTGTCATGAACAAAGAGACCTAGATAGACACCAGATGTTCAGGCATATCATTTCTGTGTGTACTGTACAATGTGGCGGCAGGATGGAACTTTGTGGCCCTCCTGCTTGTATATCCCTTGGCATAAACATTTTACCTTTGACTGAAACTCAGAATTTTCTCTGAGAAAGAAAAAAACTAACAAGCCTGATTAGAGTGATCAAAAATTTAATTCTGGTAATTTATATAGAAAGCTAAGGTGCCATGTTGTTTCAAAGGCTTTTTCAATATCCAAGAATACAGCAGCTGTAGACATGTTATTGTTGAAATTTAAGGTGATGTGACCTGTAAACCTCATACATTGAAGTATAATGGTGTGATGGGCACGGAAACCAAACTGACTTGCATTAAGCAGGATTCTTTCATCACTGTGCCTTTTCACTGTTTTCAGAATAACTTACCTGTTGTAGACAACAAAGTAATTGGATGTAAATTTTGAGGGAATTTGGGGTCAGTACCGTTTCAGTAACATTATAACTTTTCAATTCTAAAGGGTTCTGATGTTGGTGGATAGCACACAGAATTACTGGGGTTTTGGACTTTTTCCATCATCCGGAATTTTAGGTAATAGAGGACACGACGTTTCGAAAACTGGATCTGTTTCTGTCTTCAGGTGAGAAAGGAAGACGCCTACTCAGTTGGGCCCTTTAGAAAGAGCTAATCTCAATCGCTAGGTGTCTTCCTTTCTCACCTGAAGATGGAAACAGAACCAGTTTCCGAAACATTGTGTCCTCTATTTCCTAAAATTCCAAGCATTGGAAAAAGTCTAAAACCCCAACAAAATATATTGAGTTGACATGGAATGACCCAAAGTGAACTTTGGGGGGAAAAGGGGTACCATGTTTTTCAAGCGTTTTGTGTAAATATATATTTAACTGAATTGAAGTGGACTGTACTGCTACAAGCTCAATATATGAACACCGTGTTCTTATTTTGTCTTTTATATTTTCTTGTATTTATTACCATGGTGGCTGCCCAATTGGTGTCTGTGACATTAGGGTCATCTTCAATGGCAACTGTATGTGGAGGCAGCCTTGCCCTTATGGATGCAGGAGTTCCCATATCTAGTCCAGCAGCTGGTGTTGCAATCGGTCTCATTAGCCGTTATACAGGCAGTGACACCAAGCACATGGAGGATTACAAGCTTCTTACCGATATCCTGGTTAGTTTATAATTAATTGTTTGCACTTTTTGTTTACTTACTATATCTACTATGAAGTATGTAGCAAAGATATTTTAATTGTACAATTTACATTAGTGGTTCCCAACTTGGGGAATGTGATGGTGGGTCTGTGTGTGAAGAATATAAGTTTTAATGTCAAATTTAGATGAGCTCTTTTTAGCTGCATTTAATAATTTCCTTCATGAGCACCTATCAGAACTGTTAATCCAGATGTTAAAAAATAATTATAGCAGTTAAATCTCAATGTCTCTCATTATTATTGGCCACCAGACAAAGATCACCATGCAACATTTTCATTTTAAAAAATTTGAATTTTATGTTTGCAGTTTTATATGGTACTAATTACAAGTTAGTTGATCATGAACATTAATATAAATATGAGTGGAAAGGGTTACATTTATTGCAATAAAAGAATTAAGGGAGTGTGTGACAGTTCGGTGAAAATCAGAAGGAGGGCACCATGTCATAAAGTTCCAGAATCACTGTTCTGCATAAACATGACTGTTATGAAAGTTGCAGATTTTTCAAATGTCTGTCACTGCACATAATTTAAGTGTTGTGGAATCTACATACATTGAGTAGCACTGGTGTTACTCCTATCTCAGAAATTTGCAAGATTGTTATGTTGAAATTACCGTTGGAAAAGTGGAAAGGCTTGATGTTAATGTGGGAGTTTCTCAGAATTCACCAGCTACCTTAAAATTTATTAATGGGCTACATACAAACACTCAAAAATACACACACACACACATAGACTCACACAAACACATATATGTGCATACACAGCATGGGATGGTGCCATAAAATTTTCTTTTGTCATTTTGTAAAGAAGGCTGAAACTATGTCTGACTAGTTCTATTCAAGTATTGAAATTCTAGTATACTGAACAAAGTTCAGCATTAGAAAAGAAGAATGCAGCAGCTAAGAATGGCAGTATGTTATGATGTAGGGCATTGAGGACTACATGGGTGACATGGACTTCAAATTAGCTGGTACTAAAAAAGGTATCACAGCTCTTCAGGCTGATATCAAGATTCCAGGACTTCCACTCAAAGTGGTCATGGAGGCTGTTCAGCAAGCAACAGATGCAAAATCAAAAATCATTGACATCATGAATGAGACTCTCAGTAAGACAAGGTATGAAATAAGTTTAACAGTGAAAACAATATTTTGTTGCTTATTGGGAAACTTGTATTTGTACCAAAGGTCACTGATCTTTTTTATTAAAACTACTGCTTTGCATTTGATAGTTATTCTTTTTTAGGTATTTCAGCCATATGTTTAATGAATTCATCTATTTATTCTAAGATGATATATTCACAGTTTCAGTGACTGCTACGTGTACTAATATGGAAACATAGTGGGTAGTCTGCACAAGAGGCAGTTATTCAATAATATGCATGGAAGGTACTGGAGAGAAACAAAAGCCTCAGTCTTATAGGTAGCCTCAGGTTTCATTAGTCTTACAATATTGGGCAGAGACATTCCTTTGTAGCAAAGCTGCTGAATTTGCTCTGCCTTTAAAAATATTTCTAGAAATGTTACAGTATACTCAAGATTGTTCATTCTAATGAAGGTGGTAAGATATGTGAATAATTGAAACATATGGATAAGCCGAGATATTTTTCAATATGTAAATTTAAGAAAAACAATATAGTGTGTCTAACTTGTTTAATTATCTCCTCCTCCTCCATTAAGCGTTAGGTCCCAGGGCCTGTTGTGGATCCTCAGGTTTGGGTGTGCCATCATTTCCTCTGTCACTCATGGATTCCCTGAAGTTGATAGTGCACCATTTGTATGGGAATTCTATTTTCAGTCATGCATTTTTTTCCAGTTCTCTTTGTATTTGTTAACAGTGTTATTCAAACTCTCCATGTGTACTGTATTCCTAATATTTTTAATTCTATCTCATCTTGTTATTCCAGTCACTGATCTCAAGTATCACATCTTGGCAGCCTGCAATTTACTTTTGTCCCTGAACATAATATGTTTCACAGCCATATAAATCATTCCTTATTGCCATAGTTTCATAGAGCTTTGTCAGCATATCCATCCTTTTACTTTTCAAGGGTCTTTTTATGGTGCTGCACATATAGTTAAAAGTTTTGTGCTTTATATCTGCTTCTGTCAAATGTGAGATATGACGTCCCAAAAATTAAACTGATTTGCTTATCCTGTTACCTGATTTTTTGAGACAAATTATGATCTAATTGGCTTAGCACTAGTATGCATTCTGCAAGGTTGTGAACATGTCTAGAAAGATGTGCAGCGAAGCCTTGAACTTGGTAATCCACACACAGATAATTTCATGATCAATATTCTTAATGTTGCTGTAACTAATTTTTGCTGCTTCTGGAACTAAGTCTGTAGGATTACATTGAAATCTCCATTTAACCTCTATCAATCATGTATCATATTATTGTGTCATCATATGTGCTGGTTCATCAGGCCCCAACATGCTCATTGTTTCATTTGCTGCAATATTAATCCCATTACCTTCCTTCCTTTCTCTCAGCGCCACAACTCAGGGTGAGCTTTGGCCTCCTGATCAATCTGCCTCCATTCTTCTCTATTCTTCATCTTTCCTCCCCATCCTTTCACTTTCATTTTGCGGAGATCACTGTGTACATCCTCCACCCATCTCAACCTGGGTCTTCCTATCTTCCTGCATCTCCCCAGCTTGTAACATTGATCTCACATTCCATATTGCAGTTATAATCTTATTCCTGCTCCTTCACTGACATCTATTTCCATTCAATTCATCCATCCAACAAGGTACACAAAATGTATACAAAAGTATGCAGTCCATACAACAATATTCTGTATTTAAAACAAAGTACACACTATCATATCAACATTTGTTTTTATTGATGCAACATGTTTCGACTGTTATACTGGGTCGTCATCAGGCATACAATGATACCAGACTCAGTTGTTGAATTGCATCTAATTCCTCAATAAGGATTCTAATTGTGCATTTGAATGTTTTTAAGTGTTTTTATATACATAAATTGAGTCTTTCAGTTACAATTTTTAAATACTCAGATAATAAAATTTAAAAAATTAGAGACTAAAGATTAAAGCTTAAAAATTAAAATTGTACTAAAATGGAAATGAAGTATTTTGCAATAAATCTCTTTAAAACTTTGTGTCCGCTACATGTTGACATGATTTTCTGGTGGTAGAAGTGACTATAGTGTGTGGCACCTGCGTATTGGGATCTTCTCACATAAGTTAGGTCATGTGGCCTTGACCTTATTGTCATCTTATGGAGCTTATGCTCATTATTCTGTATGCCACCCAACAGGTTGTTTATTTGGAGTGATCTGTAACAGTTTTTTAATAATTATAAGGAGAAGCATGTGACTGTTTTTATTAAACTCCTCATTAGGTTATTAAGTATATGGACTTACATACAGTAGATTTTCTTCTGATGGAATGTGTATGGGCTGCTCCTATATTGTAGCGGTTCGGTCTAGACTACTTGTTTGGGGGTATGTGTATACAGATGTTGATACGATAGTGTCTACTTTGTTTTTAAATACAGAATATTGGTGTGTAGACTGCATAGTTTTGTATACATTTTATGTACGAGGGTGAGTCAAATGAAAACCGTAATTTTTTTTTTAATTTAATATATTGAATGAAAGCAGCACACAACTATATCATTTTTCTACATAGTCTCCAATTCATTCAGTACAGGCCCTCAAGCATTTACAAAGTGTATGGATTCCTGTAGAAAAATATTCTTATGGGGATCTGCGCAACCACTCATGCACTGCCTGCTGTACCTCTTCATCAGAACAGAACTTCTTTCCTCCCATCACCTCTTTGAGTGGCCCAAACATTTGGTAATCACTTGGGGCTAGGTCTGGGGCCAAGCATTGTCATGTTGCAAAAGGATACCTCTAGTCAAAAGTCCACATTGCTTTGATCTGACTGCAGGTCGAAGATGAGTCTTCAAGAGATCTGAATATGAGGCACTGGTGATAGTGTTCCCCTGAGGTGTGTAGTGCTCCAAGAGTATGCCTCATTCATCCCAAAAGAGAGTCAGCATAATCTTCCCTGCAGATGGCTGCACCCGGAACTTCTTGGGTTTTGGTGATGAGGAATGATGCCATTCCTTGCTCGTTCTCTTTGTTTCCAATTGGTGGTAGTGCACCCAAGTTTCATCACCAGTAACGATTCTCGAAAGGAAGCCATCACCTTCTGCTTCAAGGCATTGCAGTAGTTCTTCACAGGCATCAACACGTCGTCATTTCAATTCTTGAGTCGGCTGCTGTGGCACCCACCATGCAGACACTTTGTGAAACTGGAGCACATCATGAGTGACATTGTGTGCTGATCTGTGACTCGTGTTAAGAGTTTCGGCTATTTCATCCACCATCACTCGGTGATTCTCCATCACTAGGATTTCAACTGCTACAATAGACTCAGGGGTCAGAACTCTGTGCACCTGACCCAGGCAAGGAGCATCTGCCACAGATGTCACACCATTTATGAATTTCCTACTCCACTCGTACACTTGCTGCTGTGACAAGCATGCATCACCATATTGAGCCTTCATCTGTCGATGAACTTCAATCAGTTTCACATCTTCACTGATCAAAAAATGAATTACAGAACGTTGTTCTTTCATGCATGTACGTAGTGGAGCAGCCATCTTCAAACCGGTGCTGTGATGGCGTTCTGTTTGTCTGCATTATACTGCCACCTATAGGATACTCTTTATAGCATTGGTAACATGTCTGCCGACTTATAGGACAATGGCATGATATTTTGAATTTTTATCTCAGTTTTATGGTTTTCATTTGACTCACCTACATACCTTGTTTATGTCACACAACAGGATGCATACTATTAAGCTCATCCATCCAAGGCTGATTATCTGGTTTCTGAACAATTTAATTTTTATGGTGTGAGGTTAGTCTCATGCCCAACCCCCAACCTGGAAGACCAGGGTATCCCTCTTTGGCTCCTACTCAGTAACCTGTCCAGCATGGGTGACCCTGCCAGTAGCTACCAGCATAGCTCCTAGGGTCTCAGGAGCACTCAAACTCCACAACCACAATAAGGTGGAGACACCATCAGTGGGGTAATCCAGTTACCACGAAGTTTAAATCTGGCTGCCAGCACCACAGTAGCAGGAGATTTAAATCTGATAACAGTTAATGTTCTTGAGTTAATATGATTTCTCATGTCATGTATTATTCAATGATTCTTTTGCTGTTGTTGTGTTAAGTTGTTAAATTTTATTGAAATTTCATGTCTTCACCACTGTTTGTTCAAGTGCACAAATACTACATGTTGTGAATACCCATTATACCTGTTTATTTGACATGTACACAGGAGCTGTTTCAGAAAGCATTTGACTTATAATTTAGATATTCTTCACAGATTCTGTATTACAGTGTTCCTCAACTGCTTGTCCATGGCTTAAATATATTCCAGCCTGCAGATTATAATTAGCGTTTTATTATGTATATTTGACCACAACTTGAAATATGATGTTACATTTTTGTAACTTGTGAATTTCTTTAACAGTGAGGGATGTAATGCTGTGTAGTCTGGTAAAGTTTGTAACTATGACAACATTTTAGTGACTAAATAGTTTCTGTCCCCCCCCCCCACACACACACACACATGATGTTTAACGATGTGGCTGGTTGAGTAATGATGAAAGGACATGGAGTTCAAGGGCCAGTTTCTGCATCCATTTGAATTGGGGAGATAAAGTCATGCTGTAAATTTAAGGTCTGATGAAGAAGGGTATGTTTGATGTGTTTTTTCATGTGACATTTTGTATACAGCTTAATTCTGATTTTTTGGGGGGTGATTATGGTGTCTGCTTGGTTTTAATACCACGGAATGCCATAATTATGTCATAAATAGACATGTTTATATATGCTAATCAGGTAGGCAAAGAAGACGTTCTTAAGCTGACGGAACAAGAGTTTATATGAAATTAGTAATGATAACAGAGTTAAGAGTACTAAACTTTGCTACATCCAGAAATGTAATTGCCAGAAGAGTACAATATGCCCACATTGCCACATTTATAATTAATGCAGAAGCTCTATTAGATGCTCTTAAGGAGGCTGGGCTTGAAGTAATTGCAAAGAACACCAAGTATATGTTGATGCCTCCTTGCCAGAATGCAGAGAAGTATTAGAACATAAAGACAGATGATAGATTCTTTGAAATTGTGGCAAAGTACAAATATTCAAGGATGAAACTAACAAATTAAAACTACATCCCTGAAGAAATGAAGAACAGGTTAAATCTGGTGATAGCTTGCTACCATTAAATTCAGAATATTTTGTTCCTTGTGTGGCCTCTGGAATCATAAATCAAAGTATACAGAACTATATTTTTCTGTTTTGATTGGATGTGAAAGGTGGTCTCTCACGTTAGGGAAGAACATAGACTAAGGGTGTTTGAGGACATAGTGGTGAAGAGAATATCTGCACCTATGAGGGATGATGGAACAGGAGGGTTGAGAAAATTGCATTATGAAGAGCTTCATAATTTGTATGCCTTATCAGCTATTGTTAGAATGATTAAATGAAAGAGGATGAAATGCACAGGACATGTAGCACTCCTGAGACAGAAGTGTGTATAAAGTTTTAGTGGGAAAGCCCAAATGAAAAGACCTAGGCATGGAAGGGAGAATGATATTAAAAAGGATCTAAAGAAGTAGTATGGGAGGGTGTGGATGGATTGGATTAATCTTGCCTGAGATAGAGATCATTGATGGGCTGTTGTGAATGTTCTGATGAATCTTTTGGTCTCATAAAAGGCTGGTAATAACTTGAAGTTTTGAGCAATTATTTATCTCCTCAAGAAGGACTCAGTTCCATGGATTTAGTTAAGTGTGCTGATAACCAGATTTATAGACTTTCTTTGTTCTTTGCATTGCAAGACAAGGGTAAGGGTTTTACCAGGCCATGAATCAGAAAAGACCAATAATGACTGCCATATTGTGTTATTTTTTGGAATGTATTAAGTGATACTGTGAAATATCGACCCACTGCTGGGTAATGTTTCAATAAAAACATCCCCGCAACAAACATGCACTGCAACAGTAGAAGGATATCCATTACTATGCAATGGAGCTGTAAACACGGTGTTTTCTATGTGTCTGTTCCAAGGCTTTCTAACAAGAGTCTGTTTGTAGCTATGGAAATTAGATTAGAGAATTGGAATTGGTAGTTCAGAAGTCGTAAGAGAATTTTTGTGGATGAACCAGAGTCATTTGTTTGTAAGAGAATTCAGAAGGTAGTTCAGTAGTTGAGCATTCAGCTGTGAAGTGTTAATCAGCTAAGATTCGTTACAAGGAAACACCTATTGAAAAATTTGCAGAGTAATAGCCATTGTCGAGACCTGTTGCCCAGCTACAACTAGTGGAAGCAGACTTAGAGGACTTAGTGTGAAGAGATTTGGAGAGTGAAAATCAGCAATACTGTTATAGTCATTTGTAGTTACAACCTGTGGGTGATCAGTATATCTGTTCACCAATCCAAACCCCATCTGTAGTCACTAAATACACTTGACAATATGATAAAATGTGAGTCTCCACACTGTTGGATTAATTCCATTATATGCCTGTTGTCTGGGTTTTGTTAACATTTTTAAGTATTTTAATTTTAAGATGATATTTTTTATTTTTAGGAAACAAAGAAAAGAAAATTGGCCAGTATCTGAACAATTAGAAGTTCCTCCACAGAAACGTGCAAAATTTTTAGGACTTGGTGGTAGCAACGTGAAACGTCTCTTGGTTGAAACTGGAGTTCAGGTAGTTGGTTATTTCTGAACAGTGCAATTTTGTAAATTTGTATGTAGGTTATGAATTTAAGTTTTACTTTGCAGGATGCTTCAGTAATGTTATTTGGGATTCTTATTCGTATTTACAAATCAGTTTAATACCTGACATGTTTACTTCTGGTTGAAGTCATCATTGAAATTTTGTTATGTACATAATGCTCTATTGTTAATCAGCCTGAAAATATAACATTCGCAGAGCATGCTGCAGATTTAAAAAATATCCAAGTTATAATATATTTTATCCTTCACTTTTTAAATCCACTGAAGTTATGGCTACACCATTATAACTTTAATAAGAATGGCTACAAATTTAATTCCATTTTCATAGCAGCCTTTGAAATGTCATCAGTTTTAAGCTGTACATGAAACCATTTAGATTACATATCCTACATATCGTATTATGGCCCTGGGTTTGACTTAGCCTCCAACAGAAATGAGTACCAGGAGTATTCTTGGGGGTAAAGGGCAGCCGGCAAGTAAGGCTGACAACCTTACGGCTAACTATGAGCCGATTGTCAAGGAAATGTGGGAACCTCAACATCTCACAACCATCTGGGCCTCCACGGTCTGTTACAGGGTTACCTTTACTTTTACTTTACTTACATATCCTATAGTAATGAAAGCCTATTGTTGAAACAGCAACAGCATTGAAATGTACAACAGAATGATGCAGGGCTTCCCAGGTACATTAAAAGCTGTAAGTTAAGCACAGCCAATATGCAGTCTGATTTTTAAATAATTCTCTCATCTTATTTCCACCTTGAGTTGATACATTTGGTCATTTGTAGGGAAATGGAAATATGTAACTTACCTGTACTGTGTGATAAACAAACTGAAACTCTTGGAATTCCCATTGCTGTATTAATTTCCTTTGCAGACACACATTAATATTTAGATTTCACCTTTTAATTAAACATCTCTTGTTCTTCGATTATATTAACTTGTCCATTTATATGCTTTACATAATAGCATTAGCCATTTCTAGCAACAAACACTTTGTATCACTAGAAGAACTAAAACTGTTAACATTCCCTTGTGTACTAGACTGTCTTTGAGGATGGATGGTGTGAGAAAGGAGATTGATACATTTAGTTAGCAGAGAAAAAGAGAAAGTGATAATATTAATGCAAAATTTAAAATTTTTGTCCAAACAACTGATCTTTGGAGAGCTTTCACACAGTCTTAAAGAGTTACATTATAGCGCAATGTGACAGAACATAAACATAAATTCTGACTTCTCTGATTGTGGCATTATAAACAGAAGCCCATAAGACAGCATACTCTATCCTTAAAGCTGGGTGCAGCATAGCAAGGCAAGCACAGATACAGAGGGCCTTCAGTAACAGTCAGGTAGTCTGTTATAACAAAGAAACCATGATGAAGCCTTCAGCAGGGCTTCTAAATATTAGATAGTAATATAACAAAACTTATTTCTGATCCTTTTCATTTCTTAAGAAGCAGATATGTGTGAAGCAGTTTTAAAATCATTTATTCCATTTTACTGTGTGATGAATTTTATTTGATAACTATAAAATTATAACTTAATTTTAAATTACATATATGCAATTCTGTCCTGTTTAGAAAACCGAGATTAACGGCCGTGGGGAACAGTTGCGCTGACCATGTGACACCCTCTATCCACAAAAGTTGGCACTGTCTTCGCCGACAAGCGGCGGTCGCTCAGTCGGTATAGTTAGCTTGCAGACTACAGGCCATGAAGTTTGTTGTATATGCAATTCTGATTTTTTTGATCTATCAGGTGACACAAATAGAAGATTCCATATTCTCTGTGTTCGCTCCCAATCAAGCAGCTATGAATGAAGCTAAAGAATTGATTGATGAGTTTCTCACAACTGAACGGGAACCAGAATTAGAGTTTGGTGCCATTTATACAGCAAAGATTGTTGAAGTACGAGATATAGGTGTCATGGTAACATTGTTCCCTACAATGACCCCAGCTTTACTGCACAATTCCCAACTAGACCAGCGAAAGGTAAGTTAAAAATTGGTGCATAGGCACTGCACATGCTTTCTTGTGTACAGTTTGTTGTGACTGCATTATGTTTGAAGTGAAACTGTTTATTGCACAGTAGACCATTGTTGGTTTCCTAGTACTGAACACTAGTGAAGTACTTGTACATCAGACTGATAAAGCTGGTTTCAAGAAGATTGACTTTTCACATTTGGGTCCCTTAGTGGCCATACTGTTATTATCCTGCAGATATCTCCTGTGCAGCTTTATGAAGGGATATGATATGTGTAAATGACTGTAATTTAATTGGAATCATTAGAGCTGACTTTGAGGAAACCATTCTTTTGTGTTTTTGGCCCATCTGAAGGGCCCTTAATTTTGGAGCTTGACCTTTTAGATTCATTGGGCACTGACCTAGAATGGATAAACTCATGGATTCAAAATGTGAATAAAATCTCTCTGACCTTTCTTGTGCTAATGTGGGTGTGCATACATTATATTACAAACATATGCTCACAAATACAGAGAGATGACAGACCAGAAACCGCGTTTTTCTTAATCAGGAGTGCTTAAAGAGTGTAAATCCATAAAAATCTTGATACTGATTTTTTCACAATCACAATACTTTCTCATAATTGCTTTTTCCCTTTTTTTTTTAATTTAATCCTTGTGTTAAAAATGAGAAGGGTTTCAGAAGTAGCTGTTGTCTGTTTATCTGTTCTTGCCCACCAAATAACTCAGTTTACATGAAATGTAGTTTGGGATAGCTAAGTCAGTTTAGTGACTAAGGTCACACACTGGATGACCAGGGAATTAGGGTGCACCTGCCAGCAGTGTCGAGGACTTCTCCATAGCATCCAAATTAGCAATGGAGCTCACTCAGACTCCTACCCAGTGACAACTGGGGACTATTTTCTCAGGGGTAAAGCAGCCAGGGCATGAAGCTGATCACTCACACCCATCCAGTGCTGTGGTGAAGAATGTGTAGATATACTTCAGCTTCCATACATATCTTCTTGGGATGATGCTTAATTAATCTGTATAGTCAGACATTTGGTTCAAAAGTGGAAATGGACAGATACATGCACATATGCGCATGATTCCTTTCTCTCTCACACACACATGCACATGGAAGTCAGCATGGTGATTCAATAAGGCTGTTTTCTTTCCTTAAGAAAAGGTATTGGACTGAAACCAGTTAAAAAGAAATATTTAATTTACACCAAATAAACGCATGTTGACACAACTTAAGCAGAAGTAGGGAAAATTTGAGAATGTGATATAAAAATATGTTAATGTTAGGCAGACTTTGTCTCAGTGTGTTGGAAATGGGTGTTGCAGGTGAACCATCCCAGTGCGTTAGGACTGGAGGTTGGAGATGAGATCCAAGTGAAGTATTTTGGGCGAGATCCTGTTTCAGGCCTCATGCGTCTTTCCAGGAAAGTTCTCCAGGGCCCATCCTCTGCAGTGGTCAGGAACCTTGGTGACAAAAGTTGTTCCAGCTGATGTCTGTCGTTCTTTCACACACAAAGAATTTATAATACTGTTTTATAAATATTGGCTGTAAAACATTGAATTAATAAAATTGTGATTTTTACTGCTAAGACACATCTATGTATAGATTTAATATAACACATAATTTTTCAGAACTTCAAGATGTCCAATTGAGAATGTTTCTGATTTATTTCTTCTTCATTTGCATCCAAGGAACACAATATTTATATTCGTTTCATCATCTTCGGTATCGCTAATTGTTTTTTCAATGCCGAAATAACAACAGCTTAATTTAACACCACTTTGCTCAGTCCGCTTTCCTTAACCGCATATTTTCTTAAACGGCTTTGCTTAACTTTAAACAGATATCAGAAAGGCTGTCCTGGTTGTCACATAGTGTCGCAGGTCAGGATCCGACTCTTTGTCATGGATGTCTGTGTTACCCTTCATCCTTTGGTATGGTGAGATGTGACAGAAGCTTTGTGATGACAAGGCCTTGCTATCTATCTATACAAGTTTAGAAAACTTCTACAGCTGTGGAGGCTGAGGCTCTAGTTATTAAGAGTGAGGCCAAGAGACAGAAAGACAAAGATGATGAGAATAAGGATAGGTTGAGGACGATCAGGAGAAAAAGGAGGTCGTGTGCATATTTACAGTGTAGAGGATAAGATATTTCCATACATCCCTTGTATCGGAAACAGCAACATAAATTTCGACCTACAGTTTGAAGCAATTGCATGCTAAGGTTCTGTTTGCATAGCTGTGCAGTTGAAAGATATCTGTTCTTTGTGTTGACAGCAAGAAGCACCTGACATCTATCGGAAGTTTCAGGCATTGAAAGCTGGACTAATTTTGCCGATGAAATTGTTAAGCTGGACAATACAATTTTGATATGTTCCATTTAATTCTGAGATAACTGTCAAATTAAGTGCTTCCTCCCTTCCATCTGTGAAAGAGGTGAAACTGACGGGTTTTTAAAGCGTGCTGCGGCACATTACTTTGTCGTTCGTGGCTATGCAATTGCTCTCTTTCTTGTTGTCTTTTCTTGGGTATTTTCAAAGTTAAACACTCTTTGTAGTTTCAAGGACATGAAAGAAAGAAAAAAAAGAATAAAAAGGTTAACTTCATATATCACCCGTGACTAAACCACCTATTTATAATAAATATTTTTTTTTGACATTATCCACCGTCCTGATTTTATTTAAAACGTTTCAGAAACCGGATTCAGTCTCCATCTTCCAGTGGAACCTACTCTGTTGGGTCCAATCAATGGAGCTAGTAGAATCCGGTCTCTGAAATGTGTTTTATATAAAACCAGGATGATGGATAATGTCCAGAAACATAATATTACGTATATACAGTATTAATATACCATCGTTACAAACGCTTAGATCTTATCATCAATTTAAAGGCCGTCAACTGCACTACTCTACCATTACAGTCAATAACACATTTTCTTGAGGCAGCCTACGATTGTTCTAAATTTAGACAAACAGATTCTAATTATAAAGTCCTATAACGTTTCTCCCGCTTTATAGCTTTGTGTATAATGATTGATGAATGGAGGTTCTGTCATCCTACTTAGAGCATGTAAATATTAGAGTTTTAAAGATTGTAATATTGTGTACCGCACTCTCGCCAGCAGCAGAAGTCATGTTCTTGACTTACACCACTTAACTGAGCCTCTCTCTGTGCTTCCTGCTCTTTTGGACATGGTAGCTCACCCAACAGTCTCTTCTACCTTGCTAACACAGCTAACACGTGACTTATGCAGAAATGTATCCTGATGACACACAAGTCGTGTGATCCCTTCACGACAATCCTATCTCGTTTCACCCATTTCTTTGCTGCTGTGTCCAACGTCGAAGAGAGCGTTGCATTCTCTTTCGAAGCAGCCACTCAGATGTAAGACATAACGTGATTATGTTTCGAATGTTTGGCTGTGAAGGCGCCCAGTGCCATGTCATGTTCTAAAATTTAGAACATGATCCGGCTAGTGGCGTCCAGACACTTATTGTGCCGATAGAACTGGTAACTAGTTGTGTATTATATCGGGGTGCGCAACAAAGAATATAAATCTTCCGTTTGATTTCCATGGCAAGGAAAGCATGGGAAACTATCTTTTTTTTTTCTGAGTATATAACTTTATCAATAAACTTCAATGTGGGCTCCCTTGATGGCACGACAAATATCCAGACGATCCAGCATGTTTGGTGTTTCCATAGTCACAGCGTCCCTAAAGGCCCGTCCACATTACTCATGCTCGTCGGGAGACTCGTCTGGCTTTTACTTGTGCTCGTAAATCTTCTTCCACACTACTTCACTTGCTCACCAGGCTTCGGCGCGTGAGGATCCGTATATTTAATCATAATGTGTATGGGCTGTAGTCGTATTTTAATTTATTGGCTATAGTTTTGAAATTAAAAATTTAAAATGGACGAAGTTGTAGTGAGTGCTGCAAGTTTCCTAGTGATGCGCTTGTTAGGCAGGAACAAGAAAGAAGACGCAAGAAACTACCTCAAAAACGCAGATGGTGGACGACCACAGTTTTCAAAAGTCTGGAAATATACAATGGAAGTGATCTCTTGGAGGACTTGGGAGTGGAAAATTTACATTTCAAGACATTTTGCCGTATGTCCCATCCGATTTTGAAGCTTGAATAAATTTGGTGGGACCGAAGATAGCAAAAGCTGACAGCACATTTCGAAAAGCTATTCCAGTTGCAAAGCGGTTGGCACTGAGATACCTAGCTACTGGCGATTCGTTTGTTCACTCCATGTTCCGCCAGAGAGCAGAAAGTCGACTGATAAGGCTCGTCATCATCCACATGACTCGGGCGGCTTGTCGCGAACCCCTTTGAAGTACCGACAACAAGCGGAGCCTCACGAACCAGTGGCTCGTGCGGCGCGTATTGCTTGTCTCGTGTCTTGTCATATTGTCCACATTACTCGCGAGCCTAGCGAGTCACACGAGCACGAGTAATGTGGACGGGCCTTTATGTGGGCTTTCAGGTGTTGCAGGTCGTCGATCTTAACCTGGTAGACAGTGGTCTTCACATAACCCAACAAGAAAAAATTCAGTGGAGTTAAATCTGGCGACGTAGGAGGCGAAGCGATTGATCCATTTCTGCCGCTCTATCTCCCAGCCATCTCTCTGTCCAAGAGATTCCTAACATGGTGGCAGAAATGTGGCGGCGCATGCGCGTAAGCCGGGCATGGAAAAAGAAACTTTTTTTACTGTTAGTGGGGTGGGACTAAGTCCCTTGTACTGCGGCCACTTCTGGCCTATTGTACCAGACCCAGATGATAGGTGAGGGTGATTGTGGAGTAATTGGTGGAATGAAAATTGGCAGGGGAAACCGAAGTACTCGGAGAAAACCTGCCCCAGCGTCACTTTGTCCACCACAAATCCCACTTGACCGAACCCGGGCCGCCGCGGTGGGAAGCCAGCGACTAACCGCTTGAGCTATGGCGCGGCCCCAAAAAGAAACTTACAGATGCTTCCTTTCCGATGACATAAACCGGATACTTGTATGACAATTACTTTCCGAGATATATATTTTTTTATACCTTTCATCCGGAAACCCGATATTTACATGCTGCCCTGCCCACTGTGGGAGCACAACGCCTGCAAATTAATCAGCAACAATGAGGCTTTATGCCCTTTCGAATAGTGATAGAAGAAAAACGGAGCTACGTCTCAGTGAGAATGAGGTTGGCAGAGTACTGGGAATTACGGAGTGAGCTCTGTTGCAGAATTATCCTGTAATGTACACTTCACGACTGAAAATAATCTCGTTCTCTATCTCAGAAACATTTGTTATGTAGAAGCACAATGAAAACACAGTACAGGATATGGAGAATAACTAACTAAGCGTTTACCGTGTGGGAAAAAGCAATAACAAAAACTCTTTATAAACTTCAGAATAAGAAGCGGCGGAAATCTCTCATGAATACCCGAAGAAACAAATACTGAATGAAGCTGTTGGAATGGAGATGTGAAATGATGATGATGATAATAATAATAATAATAATAATAATAATAATAATAATAATAAAGTAAAGCTATCCCTGTAACAGGCCGTGAAGGCCCATAGGGTTGTGAGACGTTGAGGGTCCCATATTATCTAGATAGTCGACTCAAAGATGGCGGTAAGGTTGTCAGCCTTATTATTATAATAAGTTTCATGCGTACTTCCTACATATGCAAGACACATTAAAATAATTGTTATTGGTTTCTTTCAAGAATTTCTATTCCAGAAACATGTGCGTATGACATAATTTGAAGTCTAACTGGGTGCAAGGAATTGGAAAATAGATGATGATAAATAGTATACGTAGATTTAAGGATTATGAATCTTACTGTATATTGAGCTGTCTTGCACTTTCCCTCTGACTTCATTTTCATTTAGGATCTTCTCTCTTAAGGATGTTCAATGGTTTCTTGCAGCACAAGGTAATTAAATTGTTCCTTTTCTCAGAATAATCTTCAAGTAAGTAGGATTTGAGGTTATCACAACGGTGGTAATGAAGATTTCTGTGCTCTAGGATTTAGCGCCGTGTATTCCATCTTAAGCCAACCAAGGTTTCGGGGAAACATGTCGCCTGAATCTTCAGAGTTAAATAATAAGCCACCTGCTTTCATGCTGGTTTCTTGCCTGGCTTATTATTCGAACCTGAAGATGGAGACCACATGTTCCTACGAAACGTCTGTTGACTTTTAACGGACTACACCGAGTTATATCCCAGAAAACTCTTAAGTTTCAAGTATATCAAATCCTGTTAAAATAAATATTGAATTTATCCTTGTACTTGGTGTTGTAAAACTGAAATGTAGTATCTCCGTGGTGGTGCATTCAAACTTGTAGCAGATAAAAGTCGGTTATTCAGATCGGTCTAATTAGGTAATTCAGTTATTTCACACAATATATATTTCTGTCACTAATTCAACGAAAGTTTTATAGTGACTGTAATTTTTCATTCACTGCGTGTTTCGACCACACATGGCCTTTATCAGGCGTCTATCGCTACGCTAAATTGCTGTACTGTACTGCATGTCACAATTGTATGTGACTGGTTATCGGTACCGATCGGTACCGCAGACCACAGTG